AAAAAAATGAAAAGGAGTTAGAACAGGGTGACCAGGGGCAGATGAAGGAGAAGCAACAGCAGGAAGAAGTCAGCAAAGTGCATGATTATTATGTAGTCGAAGTTGAGCAGCCGCAGCCGAAAATCACTGTTGTCCCGCAGCCTACTATATACCGCGACACTAAACTTCGCCCCAGAAACTTCGGTAAAACAGTGAATAATTTTAATCGACAACAAGTTATTTATTGGAAAAAACTTTAATAGTATTATTTACAAATAGGAAGATTAGGTAACAATGATGAAATAAATGTCCGGGGATAAATAAGACAGAAATTAATCGTCAACCTTCAAAGATTCACAGCAAACAAACGCTTTACATAAGTGACGCAAACGCCGCCCTCTGCGTTTAGATGTTCGCTGATCTAATACGCAGACTGTTTCTAAAATGGTAAACACTGGTGAAATGACTGTCGTAATTCTGACTGCGAAGCAAAATGCGTATACAAATAATTAAACACATCTGTCTGCCAAAACAAAGGAATCAGTTGCTAACCTGAGGACTCCATTACAACCTTCCAATTGCGGGATTGTCTTCTCTGGGCAGCGGTCAGTGGACGGGATGAAGCGTCCCTATTTGATGCGTGATCCCAGGGTTTTCCATGTGATGATGTCTCTATTGGAAAGGTCTTAGTCTGTGCCCGAATTTGTCTTCCCCGAGTACAACCTTTGTAACCACATGCACAACAGTGAATTTCGGCTGCGCCTGCTCAACCCCCACTACATAATAATCATGCACTTTGTTGTCTTCTTTCTGCTGTTGCTTCCCCTGTCCCTGGTCACCCTGCTCTAACTCCTTTTCATTTTCTTTGTTATCCGACAACAAGAAGTCACCAACAAACTACATAATTATGATGTAGTGGAGGCTGAGCAGGAGCAGCCGAAATTCACAGTTGTGCATGTAGTTGCAGATGTTGGCACTCGAGGGAGACATATTCAGGCGCACCCTAAGACGTTCCCAATGGAGACATCATCACGTGGACAAAACTGTGATGAATCATCAAATAAGAACGCTTCATCCTGTCCGCTGACCGCTGCCCAAAGACGACAATCTTGGAACTGGAAGTTTGTAATGGAGTCCTCAGGTGAGCAATTGATTGCCTTGTCTTGGCAGACAGATGGTTTTAGTTATTTGTATACGCACTTTGCTTCACAGTCAGAATTACGATAGTCCTTCCACCATTGTTTACCATTTTAGAAGCAGACTGCTTATTAGATCAGAGAACATCCAAACGCAGGGGGCGGCGTTTGTGTCGCTTATGGACAACGTTTGTTTGCTGTGGATCGTTGAAGGTTGACGATTAGTTTTTTGCCCAATTTTTCCCTGTAAATATATTTCATTATTGTAGCTTAATCTTCCTATTTTTAAATAGTATGATTAGCATTTTTTCCAATAAATAACTTGTTATCTGATTAAATTATATACTGTTTTACCGAAGTTTAATGGGCGAAATCAAGTGTCACGGTATAGAATAGGAAGTGGGGACGTCTGAGTGGCTAGGATCAAGCGCAAATTCACGAGCAGTTTGCGATAACTGCACTCAGGCGAGTGAATTTTGTGGAATGATGTTATTTCTGCAGCGTCGTTTGCGTCGCTTTGCAACTGTGTAAGGTGAAGAAGGACGTTGGTGGTCGGTTTTTGGTTCTGATGTGATTGAGCCCTTCCGAATGGGCTTCGAATACATTGATGCAATGCCCGCCATGTTTCTGCTACTCATGTCTCTCATGATGATTCCGCGACGAATTTCGAAACGTCAGGCGAATGAATGTATTGTCCCAGCGATCGAGTCTTCTTCTCAGTTAAATACTAGTTCAGCGG